GTATAGAAAACTGGCCCGGATGCACCCCAGGAGACCCACTTACTGGATGTGCCCACCACGGAACAGGATCAGCTACACCTCTGCTTTTCTTATAACCCAATTTGTCAGACCCGAGTGCCTATTTCCCCAGGAACGAAACTTGCACAGAATTTTAAATCAAAGATTTCTAAGTTTCTTAATTGCTTTTTATGTTTCTCTCATTCAAATTATTAAATTGAGGCGGAAATTCATTTAGCTTTCCAGAGGGAGGTACCTCCCCTCAAGCTTCACACAGCATCTCTTGTGAAGGAGTTAATGATGAGAACAGCCTCATCACCCACTTACCAAACGATTTCCTGGAGAGAGGCAATTCTGTTAGGTAAGGGCTTCACCAAAACTGATGATCCAGTCTCCAGCAGGTAGGTGGGAGAAGATGAAAGGACAAAGATCTCTCCTAACTATACAGGCAATGAATTTATTTTCTGAGTCAGGAGTAATTGGAGATCTGAGAGGCTAAAACATCCAATGAATAGAAAGTTAGTTCTGTTGTGCCAGCATATGTGATAGCATATGATATCCCTTGTGATACACTCACTACTGATCATTACTCACAGAGCTGTAAGAAAAAATTCCAGCTGCTCACTGACGCAGTGATTACAACGGAAAAATGTTTGGCCTCAAGACAAGCTGTAATATTCAAAAGCAGGAGAAAAAAATCAGATGGTTAGGATGTCCACGGAAAAATATCAAAAGTCCAACAGATACAGAAACATTCATGCTTTAGGCATAGGCTTTAGTAATACCTGGTGTGTTATGTGATTAAATTTTAGGGCTCACAGTAAAGTATTGCTGTTAGTTTTGCCAACTAGCAAGATCAGCTGAGTCTGAATTACAGTATGTGCTGTGGCTATTCTAGAAGCAGTCTGAGGATCTATCTAGCAAATGTAGATGGCCCAAAAGATTTTAATGATGTACTCATGTATTACATGACATGCACACCTGTCATATACTGTAAGACCAGAAGGGAATGGTGTCCCTATAATTGACAATGTCCTTCTCTTTCGTGCTAATGTTGACAGAAGTTGTAGCGCCTTCCCACCCACTGCACCAGTGTGCACACTGTGAGGATGCGCTCTGTAGCTGAGAATGTCCTGGCTGACTGGCTGAAGCTGGGAGATGCTATGAATGTCAGCTAGATATCAGCTTGTTCAGATCTACCCCACCTTATCACCTCATCATGACTTACACCAGTGTGACATGGCTGATCTCTGGCTACATTTGCAATTACATGTGCTGTCCTTGTAGAGAAATGATGTAACAAGGAAATGGGTATCCAAGCGCTAGCTGTCTCATAAGCATTGGGCATCCGGGTTTTTGCTTGTTGCACCAGTATACCATAGAATTCTCAGTCACTTCCTAACTGTGTTGATAGTGTTTGTGCCCTGGCTATTCTGGCATGTGTTTTCCAGCTTCGAGTGTTTCTTCTTCAGTGTTTCCAGCACAGAGCCAATTTGATGTCACTGAGATAATCCAAGCTATTGTAGAGTTTACACAAGTATTTAGGTTTGATTATGACTATTTATTTTCTCCTAACTTGAATATAACTGTTTCGTATCTCCCTGTTGGCCTATTAAGAGTGACAAGACAGAATTTATCTCTGGTGGACGAGCTATCTGGCTATTCTAGTAACTGGCTAAAATTTTCCCTGTTTGAGTCTTGGACTCATTATCTCCTGCTTTCTGGTTCTTTGCTGACTGGCATGAGCAGGTGTGATGGTTTTACTGGGATATGAGATTACAAATGATTCAGTGTCTGAAACATAGAATATGTAAGCCACCTCTTTGCTATTTTAACTATTAATTAAAAAAATTAAAATAAATAAAAAATATGTCTAAGTCAATAACTAACTCCAGCGGAGAACAGAAGAGTGTGTGCTCTGGTGGTTTAGGGGGTCTGAGTTTTTTTAGGGTCCTGAGCTACAACTAAAACCTGAACACTGTAATTAGCAGAGACAACCACATGCAACCTTTATGAACTTCTCTAACTTTTTTGTGCATCACACTCATTTTGACTTTCACCACATCTCACAAGTTCCACAATGCGTTGTATAGGAAGGTCTTCTCTCTTGTTACCCATAAATTTCTGTTAATTTCAGTGGTATTCCCCAGTTCTTACATTTGAGACAGACCAGACAATTATTATTCAAGCTATGTGAATGCCATGAACATTGCTGGGGATGGAGTATTCACCACTTTTTGGGCAACCTGTTCCAGTGCCTCACCACCCTCACAGGGAAGAAATTCCTTACATCTAACCTGAACTTCCCCTGTTTTAGTTTAAACACATTACCCCTTGTTCTATTGCTACAATCCCTGATGAAGAGGAAATGTAACATACATGCTAATTTTCAATATTGCAGAGGGCATTTCAGATGAAAAAAAAATAAATCCTTGAACTAAGGTTTGTGAAGCTTTAATCAAACTCTGTCTCTCCTGTGGAATAATCTCCAAGAACTGCAACTGTGAATTGTGCAGTTATCATCAGGCTGATAACGTGTTACTGTATTCAACTCTGATGCTGTGCCAGTTTCTCTAGTGCTGGCTCTATTATCTTTCTGTTTTCACAGACACCTTCATTATGCTTTGAAGGACATTCGTAAGTTTATATTGTGTATATCTTTGACATTTAAACACTTAATTTCATGTAGCCCAATTTTCTTACTACATTTTACTGTAAAGCTCCCAACCACTTGAATTGAAATCACACCTGGGAAGTCATCTTCCTGCTGCCTGATAACTAGAGCCTGATACTGGTAATGTGCACTGTTGTACCATATGTTATCTCCTGGTTCATTGTTTTATGTCTTAGCTGTGGAGCTTCAGGGTTATTTGAACTTCCTTTCTTTGATCATTATAAAATAATGTCAAGATCCTACCAAGCTCCCTTGCCATAGCATTTCCTTATAAATTGACAGCAACATTGGTAGTTCAGAATCTCCTCATTTTCTCTGCAATCCAAATTTTTTAAATTATTCATCTGTGTCTCTTGAAACTAACTTCATGAGTTCCTACACAAAGCAGTTTTCGTCAGTTAGGTCACTGCTCTAAAGCATTCCTGGTGAAAACAGAAGCATAATACAAGCTGTTTCCTGAGAAATGAAACATGTTTCCTATAGATTTATGTCCATGTTTTTGCTGATAGGCCATTTGGCTGCTGCCTCTCAGAATGGATCAGAGCTGCTTTCCCGTAAGTAAGGGCACCAATGTACTGTCCAGCCATCGATTTCCACAAAACATCTAGGAACTTTACTTGCCAAATTTCCCTGACCTTGAGCAGCAACTTCCAGAGTTGTGAAGGACAGGCAGAGAAAGATGGCAGGCAGCACAAGCATACATGTTTCCGCTCCTTAGGAAACAAACTAAGAAACATTTATAACCAGAACTACTAGGTCAAACAAAACTGGTTGGAAAAACTAGTAACGGCTACAAATATTCCTCACCATAGATCTGTGCCAACTCTTGAATACCATTCAGCGATTTTCTTCCCACTGGGTTTTTGTTGTGCGGCAGAGCTCTTAAGAGATAAACTCTGTGATTCATGTTTTGGATTCAATTCCTTGGCTGTATCAGAATCTCACTTTTTTATTCCACAGAATGAAAAGGAAGAAGGAGAAGAAGCAGGCTTGCAAGGTCACTGGAAAATTGTACACATTAAGGTATAAATTAAACCCAGCATAATGAATGCTGCTATTTATGCAGCTAGTAACTGTGTGAGCATTTACTTGGTAGAACAGTGATTTTCTTGTTTACCTTTGAGGTGTGCAGGTACAGATTTACATTAAAGTAAAATGTAACAGTCTCAAATAAGGCTGTACACATATCAGTTTGCACCTACACATTAGCAGAAGCTAGCTAAAGTCAGAGTACCTCACGTTTCCTGTGTACACGACTGTATTTCCACCTTCCAATAACTGAATGAAGTACAAAAATATGGCAGATGGCTGAGTCTTTGACCAAGCCCCTGCACATGTGATAAAGGTAACTGCCTCGTAACTTCAAAGTTTTCTCCAATTACAGTTCTCCAAGGACCTTCTGAAGGCAGATGCCTGATTCAGTCACATACAGCAACATTTGTTCTCTGCTGGGCTTGGTACTGAGCCAAGCCAACTCCATCCCAATGGCTCCTGCTTCTGGTTCCAGCACGAACATGGTACAACCTCGTTGTCTGGGTCATTTGGTGCAGGTTTATACCAAACACAGAGAGACTCTGCAAATTGATATACACAACTTTGGAGCTCAAAGTAATTATTTATTAGCTAATGAATATTTGTTAGCTGTTAGCCTGTGTTAGTCCTAGCGGTCTGCTAGGGCAGCTAGGTGCATTAGCAGCAAGAACTCTGGCATTTGGGGAGCCAGCTGTCCTGGACAAGACAGGGAAGAGGCATTTTTGCAGAGGACTAATTCCCAGTGGTACCCAGCTGTTGTCTTCTGAACCTCTGCTTCATGTTTCACTTATGGTTTAAGAATGTCAGTAGATTTCCTCTTGAACCTCTGAGCTGCAGACTATTTTCATTGCAATAATCACACTTGCCATACCCTAGGCCAGGCCACAACATGAACCCCTTCATGGAGACCATGCAGAGCCTTTCCTAAGGGACCATGTGCCAACGAGCGCTGTCAGATACTTGCTCTCGGTCAGGCTATCCCCGCACCTGTGGTGACAGGAGAAGCAGAGATGGGGCGATGCTGGTGGGTGCTCTCCACTTACTTCCACACTGCAACTGTGGCTCGGGCAGTTGGCCTCCCTCTCTCCACCCTTGCTCCCATGCAGCGGTGTTAAGGAAGAACCCAGAGGGTGCTGCCTCTGTCAGAGCTGGGTAGGGACTCATACATCAGGTCTGGTTTTGTTGTATTTCACACAAGGGTGCTGCCGCCCGCCCCGCTGGCCACGGCCAGGAGAATGGCAGTCAACCAGAGAATCAACCCAACGCCTGCGCCCGCCTCCCGCGCCGTCCCGCCCCTTGCCGCGACAGGCACCGCCTCGGCGTGGGGCGGGATAACGCTGCGGCGCGGGGTTCGGAACGGGTCGGCCTGCGGGCGCCATGCGGAACCGCGCGGAGGTAGACGCGACGCTGCAGACGGCCAAGGTGAACCCGGCGGAGCTGCTGCCGGTAGTACATTGCCTCAGCTTCGGGCCGCAGGCGGCCGCCGGAGGGTGCTGCCTGCTGCAGCTGGAGCCGGGCCTCTGCGCAGAGATCGAGGCGGGATGCAGGTACGGGAGCGGTGGGACTTGTCCGCTGAGGCGAGGCGCGGCCTGGCGATAGTGGCAACTTCCACCCGTCGTCTCTTGGGGCCCAGCTGCCGTGGTGGCCGGGACGGCGACCCGAGCCAGGCTGAGGGACCGGGGCAAGCCCGCCCCGCGGCGGTAGACGGGAGTTTTCACCCTTATGGCTCGGCCCGCTGTGCGTGAGGATGGAGATGGGGCAGGGCTGTGCTGTTCCATCTTTAACTGATGGCTTTTAAACGTGGCCTTTTCCAGACTTCTGTTCTTCTAAAACAGTTTGCGTGACGATGTAACTGTCCCTTAAACCTGGCTCTGTTACACGGAAAACTATACTAGTAACACCTAAGAAGCGTTTTATTCATTTATTTATTTACATATGGAAAAATTGCTGCTGAGGAGACCTTTAGCCAAAACGGAGAAGAGTTTCTCATCAGGCCTATAAATATAGGGGCCAAACACTTTGGGTTTAGGAAAGGCGCTGGAACTGTTGAGGTCGGGTGGATGGCAGGGTGCCTGTGAGAGAAACAGCAAAAGATGTACAGTGTTAGCATAGGCGTTTCATGGGGTGATTGCCTGGCATCTAACTCTGGACTAGAGCAGATTCTAGGTAAGTTTTTGATACGGTTTTAAAAATCTTACCTTTGCTGCAATGCCGGTGACATAATAAAAGCATTTAAATGAGACAATATCAGAACTCTTTATAATGAGAATAGCCTCAAATAGTTGGGAAGACCTCAATGTTCCCCTGCTGTGGTATTACCACGTCCTCATTAAGAATCTCTTTTTAATCAGGTATGTGAGCTGGAGAGGGGGGTTTGTATTATTTCTCCTGAAATGCTCTAGAAGATGGTTTTCTTTCCTGCTTGGAATTACTTGCAAGAAAACATACGTGTTATTGAGAAGGGATTATCTGACGGGTGCTGCACAACAGACAGAATTTGTGTTTACTTTATTGTTTCATATTTAGCCAGTTTCAGTCCATGTTAAAGAACAACTGAAGTTGAAATCTAATTTCAAATATCAGTGAACTAGTTCAGGCTTTAAACAACACTTAATTAGGCTTGGGGGGGTTGTGTGAATAGGCAGATGAGGTGATTCAAAATTGATCTGCGTAAATACCTTGAATTGTCTTTCAGAGAGGGAAAACTCGGAAAGGAGAAAACATACTTAAGATATTTTAGATTAATTGATAATTACATCTTTCTATTTTGGTGTGCTGTTACTGCTGTTACCAAATAGAACTGCATTTTATAACTTCCTTACCAATGTATAAATACAAAAAAATATCAGACAAGTTTAATAGCTATTCATTCTGAAATAGCAGTAAAAATACATCTTTATTTTTGTGATGTTTCTGTTCCAGCCTAGTAATCCGTGGTGAAAAGGATGAAAAAGCAGTGTTGTGCAGCAAAGATAAAACCTATGACATGAAAATAGCAGATACCTCAAATATGCTGCTGTTTGTTCCTGGTTGCAAAACTCCAGAACAGCTGAATGCAGATCAAGCATCTTGTAATATTATTCATTCACAGGTGTGTCTTTCTGGGCTTTTGTTTGTTTGTGTTAATTCTCTACTTTCTTATTCTCTATAACTTCTTGTATTTTACCCTTCTGAAGCACTTGTTCTCAGTGACGAGATTACCACATTTTGCTGATCATTTTTGATAAGTTGCTTTGAATCCAAATGCTATATTAAAATGTTTTAAGAGTCTTTGCTTTTTCTTGTAGATTGCTGGTTTCTCCAATAACTATTGGGAATTAAGGAGATGCCGACCAAAACTGAAGAAACTGAGAAAGCTTTTAATGGAAGATCCCTATGGAGGGCCAGATAGTCAGAAGGATCAGGCTTCGACCTTTTCAAAGGTCAGTCAGCTATGTGAATTACCTTCTTGTAATTGTTAATGGCCAGATTAAAGTTAAGATATATTCTTAACTAGAAAAATGCCTTTCCTCCCATGTTTCACAGTGCTGCTTTGAGTTAATTTTTTAAGCCTATACAAATTGGTGATTATTAGCACTTTTGCTGAGTGGCAGGTAAGCAACCTTTTTGGGTTTTTAGCAAAGAGAGGAAAAGGAAGGACACTGAAAGAGATTTCCCTCTTCAATTGGGAAGTTTCTTGAAGACAGTCTCCAGAACCTTTTCTAAATTCCTTGAAAGTTATATAGCCACTAAGGTGTAATTCAGCCTTTCCTTCTTCGGGTGTGAATGTATGACGTGTCGTGTATGAGTGTGGAGGACACCCATTTGCCAATCAGTAATTCATGATGCGAAGGAGAAGCAAGGAGTTGCATACTAGATGCAAGGAGATGCATGATAAGGGTGATATGTGGCAGAGAGGAAGACTGACACTACAAGAAAGGAAAACACCCATGTGCAAATCATTTGCCCGTCAGTAATTCATGATGTGAAGAAGCAAGGAGTTGCATATGACATGCAAGGAGATGCATGATAAGGATGGCATGTGGCAGAGAATAAGACTGATGCTACAAGAAGGGAAAACACAAAATCCTGTCCTGCTGCCCTTTTCTGTTTCCAGGAAATTCAGTTTAGGATCTAAAGAGTAATTGAGAGCCCTGGACTGTGCAGCATATGATCTCAGATAAAAGGCTGATAAAAATCCTGGTGTTTTGTTAGTTTTGACTTTAAAACCAGAAATGGTTGCTCAAAAGTATTTTATGTTGACACTTGGTTGAAGCTGATACTACCAAACCATCTGTGCTTGGATGTACAAACACAGATGGTACTTTTCTCCCTTGGAGAAAAATGCTGCCTCTCTTTTTCTGGACTATTAACAGACTAATTTTTGAACAGTTTCGGAATCTTTTTCCCCCAGCACTGCCTTCTCCCATCTATTCTGGTCTAGGTGTAGAGAGACATACAACAGAACAGGGGATGGCAGAGAAAAAAGGGCTTAAAGTGACTAGCAATGGGGGGGGGGGGGGGGGAGGGAGGAGAAAGGAAGTCATGTGGAATAATATTTATTGCTAATATTGAACAACTATTATAAAAACATGTCAGTGTCTCCCCAGACATTAATGCCTAGTTTGAGGACCATCCTTCTCTGTTTTGAAGGAGAATATTTCCTATATCAGCTTACTGGAGAAAACTAGATATAGCTGATAGACAATTCTTATCTTGCCACTGGTTATTTGAAAACAAATGACTCTTGGGATATGTTTAGTCTCAATTACTAGCAGTGTTTAAGTACTGTACAATATGGTCATCCCTTGCTGAAATACTCTTGCGAGTTCAGTGCTGCTTAGCCTGATGATGTTTAATAGGAATGGTACTGCAAAAAGCAAAGACCTTTCTGTATTTATTAAATTTTTTTTTTAACATGTGGCTGTTCCAAACTTAGTATTGATTTCTTCCATTTGTGTTCCCATAGTCTAATGGATCTGAGGTACTTAACTCTTATTTTTTCTGTTCTGATAGAACTATTCTTACAGTATAATCAACAAAACTTTAATATTAAAGTTGATTAAAAAGGCTGTAAGGTGAATAAAAGAATTTATGAAGCCCTGTCTCCTACGGATTTAAGTCTGTTCTTTCCTTATACTTCATTCCTCATGATACCTTCTGTTCATCCTATATCTCCTAAAACTTTACCACAGACAGTATCTACAGCACCCTATCATCTCTACAAGTACTCATCTCTCCAAGTAACTGTTCTGCAAGAAGCTGTTCATATTATGGCTAGGGCTGTACTACGTGTCTGCTAATTGGTTACCAGACACCAAAACACATATCTGTTGAGGTCATGCTGGAGGAATCTTTCCCTCAGTGGAGGTACTAAGGTGGAGTTCTGACATCTGTCCAAAAGGGATGAGTGCTTTTTGGTTTGCCTATTCTTTGAATCTCACAAGTTAAAATAAGTGATTTAGGAAAAACAGAACACATTTACTTTTCATTCTTCCTGGTATACCTTACTTAAGATGCCTACTTGTGCTAGTTTGACATCCTGGGAATACAAGTGTATTGCCTGTGCATGGCACAAAGACTTCCCTGTAGTTAGACTGGCTTTTCTATTGCATAACTCTTTGAGAAAATGTAAGTTACAGGAAAGGTTTCAGAATGTGGTAAACCTTACAAAACTTGGAGTATACAGGGAGGGGAACATTACTCTTCATTACATCTTACAATACATTTAGCATGCTTTGCTGAGGCAAAGGAGGAGTAAAACGTGTTTATTTCTTTTATTTCCTCTTACTGCAGTATACAACAGAAGATTTGTTAAGTCTGATTCAAGCAAGCGAAGAAGAAATACTGCACCATTTGCAGGTGATAGATGCCTGCAAAATTGAAGGTATTATTTTAAAGAATATTATTGCTTATGAGGAACCAACCCTGCTTTTTTTCCCAAAATATGTGTCTCCTTTTTCTAAGGCCCATTTTACATCCTCGTCTTTCAAGGTGCAAGTCACTTCAAAGCACCAAGGTCTGCTTCCATAGTTCCTATGTTCTCTGCTGCTATGAAGCTGATCTAAAGGATAAAACCAAGCAGGCGCTGACCAGTCTGGCTATTCCCAGGGTAATTCCTTCTGTACTGCTACAAACACTGCCATCAGAATATCCCACCCATAGCATGAATATTTTTTTGGCTGCCGGTCCTCTTCATGGATGAAGAGTTCTAGAGTGTTGCAGTTATAGAGATAAAAATAGCTAATCCTTAGGTAACCCTAGCCCTTTCATAGCTTGCTCTTCATCCCAGACTGGGTTTTATCTCGGAGGTCTTCCTACCATGTGAGGCAAGACTAGAGCAAGTGTCTCACCTTGGGACAGGTCCTACTCATCCTTTACTTGGCCAAATTCTAACCCTCACTTGGACATAACGTGACAGTAGTCCTGGAGTCACAGAATAATATAGGGCAGAACTAAGCTTTGGAGGTTACCAGGTCCAAACCCCTGCTTTATGGCATGGCTGCATGTAACCTTGGCTGGTTCTGTTCTAAGTATTTCCAAGCATGGACAGCTTTGTCCAAGGTGTTCCTGTGTTAGACCCTCTGCAAGGAAATAACTAGCTGGGATTTCCCTTGTTGCAACTGGTGCTTTTTGTCTCCTGTCCCATCACTGAGCACCACTGGAAAGACCTCTGGTCAGTTGTCTTTGTACTGTCCCATTAGGTAGGTGAGGATCTCGTGGATGCCTTTCCTTGTCATGTACAGCTGCACAACACCGTTGTACCTCATATGTGCTTTGTCGCATCTGGATTTCTGTGTACTAGCCTGGACCTGAGCTGTCACTTTTCAGGGCCAGTGCAGCCACTTCCGTTCATACAGTTCTATGCCTGAATGAATTACTAGTTTTTCCAGGTCTGATTCATCTTTGTATGGAATTTGTAGTGTCTTTGTATTTGTGGCAGTTAATCTACATAAACAGTTATGAATAATAGAGATTATTTAACTTCTTTCTCCTCTACAACTGCTTTTACTATTCTCTTCTGTTTCCAAGTTTTAATCCTGAAAAGGCCAGAATGTTGCTGCTGTACTTTGTAAAGGTGTGATCTAAATGTCCAGGCTCCTGTAATATATGTACAGGGGAATAGAATTAAGGTATTAATGTTCTCCTAAGTCTTGATTTGTGATTTTCTGTTTGGCAGGATATTGGAGAATTCTGGAATTTGACTATGAGATGAAACTCTTGAATCATGTGATTCAGCTAATAGACTCGGAGTCCTGGTCTTTAAAGAAGGTTCCTTTACGTACCTGCCTTGAGGAACTTGGATCTCTAGAGCCCACGTAAGCCTTTACATTTAGTACTTAAAATTGTTTACAATCATTATTAATTAATTACATTAATTACTGTTTCTTAGAATTATGGTCTTACAACTGTAGATTCCAGTTACCATGGTGTTAATGATACATTTTTCTTTGCCTCTAAAATATACAAGGCCGTTACTAGCTTAGACAGGTTAGTAAACTGACCATAGTGTCTATTGGTAATATTTTCACTGATTAGTAGTAGAAACATCACTGCTGAATTATAAATTATGGAAGTAGCATGTACTTAAGCTGTAAATTGCTGGCAATCTTGAAATACTTGTTCTGAAGCTATAGGTAGCCAAAAAGGTTTAGTTTACCTCTTGTATAACGTATGAAATGTGGCATGTTTTCTGTTTTAGTAAATCCAGACTGTAAGAGTTTAATTTATTGTACTGCTGTTTGGAGTCATGAAATAATTGAAGATTACCATTCAAACAAAGTTTACAGTATGTAGCATTTGCTATTTATTTGGCTTTTGGCTCAAAAAGAAATCTTGCTTTAGTATTAGTGTCTGCAGTTATGCTGTAATGTTATGCCAGAGTTCTAGAAAAATGCCTACTAATCAGTAAGTGATAATTAACTGCCAAATTTGTGACTTGCCATAGAATCACACAATAGTTTAGGTTGGAAAAGACCTTTAAGATCATCAAGTCCAGTGGTTAACTGAGCACTGCCAAGTCTACCACTAAGCCAAGTTCCTAAGGAACACATCCGCATGTTTTTTTTAAATACCTCCAGGGATGGTGACTCCATCACTGCCCTGGGCAGCCTGTTCCAGTGCTTGATAACACCTCTGGTGAAAAAATATCCTAATATCCAGTCTAAACCTCTCCTGGCACAACTTAAGGTCATTTCCTCCTGTCCTATTGCTTTTTACTTAGGAAAAAAAGACCAACCCCCACCTCAGGACAACCTCCTTTCAGGTAGTTGTAGAAGTGACAGTCTCCCCTGAGCCTTCTCTTTTCCAGACTAAACAACCCGAGGTCCCTCAGCTGTTCCTCATCACACTTGTGCTCCAGACCCTTCACCAGCTTCACTGCCCTTCTCTGGACCTGCTCCAGCACCTCAATGTCTCTCTTGTAGTGAGGGACCCAAAACTGAACACAGGATTTAAGGTGTGGTATCACCCTGCTGGCCACACTACTGAAACAATTCTATTTGCAAAGAAGTGACTTTGCAAGAGTCAGCCTTCCTTATTCTCCTTATGCCCTTTAGTTTCTGTTACTTAAAACTAGACAGTGGAAGAGACCTTTGATGACAGAAATAACACACAGAATTAACTTCTATCTGTCCTTTTTGTCCCCTTTTGTTCTCTTTTGCTTCTAAGTTTTTGGGAATTTGTTCATTTCGGGCATGAAGATGTCACATCCTCAGTTCTCCTTGACATACACCCCCTAATACCTGTTCTTTCATTTTCTTGGTAACTGTTTCTGTAGTGTCTAATGAGCAGTTTTAAAACTTGATTTCTGATTTTTTTTTTATTCCTGCCCGTCCCCCTTCCCCCCAGATCGATGATAGAACACATTCTTCTAAGCTATGGAAGGAGATATTTTGACGATGGTAAGTTTGGGAAAGCATGCGTATTTTAATTTTGCATAAAGAAAATAGGTATTGTTGAGTAAATGTAGATCCTGAGGATGGCCCAAACAAATCAATTTGCTACAATGTTAATAAAACTGAGTAAAATGGTTAGAGAAAGTTTCATAGGAAAAAGGACTATTAAACTGTATGAGACACTGGGGAAAAATCAGGAACTAACAGAAGTACTGGGAGTCATTTATTAGGTGTCTACAAACCATAATTTTGTGACTAAACACAGATGACCAGTAAAATTTAGGTGGAATCTCCTGTAGGAGGTCTCGGATGTTTAAGCAATTAAACAAATAGCAATTGTGCTATTGTAAATAGTGAATGGCACATAGATCTCCCTGAATTCAGCCTGCCTGAAGTAGACATCTGCCTTTGGTCCCTTGAACTGCACCACAAGACCTACTGATTGTATTGATTAAATCTCCATTGCCCATCTCACATATAGACAGAATATTTCTGTGCCTTAATCTGAATTCTTCCCCACAGTTGCTTTCAGCTCACCTTTGAGTATAGTAGGAGTTGCACTCAACTTTTCAAGAGAAAGGAAAGTAGTTGGAGTGACACAAATTATAATCTTAGTATATTCAGACAGGTTGTACAAGAAACAAGTTTGCAGGAAGTTAAGATGGCTGAAAAAGTCAAAGGAAGTGTTTATGCCTGACATCGGTCAGAGAATTTTAGTCAAGTCAGTGTGAAACAAAATATGAGTTGATGAAGGGAATAATGATAATTTAAAGGTGATAAAGGACATGAAAGTTTTGTTGAATTGTTCAACCACAGGCAGCAAGCACTTTAATACAAGCCGTTCTGAAACAGGAATGAAAGATGTAAGAAAAAGTGTTACTGTGCAAAGTGAAAAGATGAAGGGCAGATATGTTTATTGACATGAATTAATACTTGTAGCTGGGGCAGTGCTGCACGCACACAGAATATTTTGCACTTGAGAAGATACCATCATTTGTCCAACGTAATACCAAGTCAGATTCTCCCTGAGGAAAATCAAAAATGGAGTACTTGCTTTGTAGAAGACTGTAGAGCAGAATGGAAATATGAGGCTGTACTCTGTTCTTTTATCAAAAAGCAAGAACCAAGATAACCTGTTTTTTGTTTCTCAGCAGGGGAGGTTTACTTTGAGATGCATGAAGATAAAATATGCAGAGCTATAGCACAAATGCTTTTGCAAAATGCAGTTAAATTCAATTTATCAGAGTTTCAAGAAGTCTGGCAACAAAGTGTCCCTGAAGGGATGACAACAAGGCTTGATCAGCTTCAGGTAAAAACATGAAGTACGGATTCTTTCAGAAGTAGGCTGTTACCTGCCTTGTGTAATACATACATTTTATCAATTAATGGTTGTTGATGTATTACTTGTGTCAGCTTTCGAATTCAAGTACTCCTTACATCCTCCGTGAGCGCCAGTGGTCTCGAATCAGGACAGCTGAGCTTTCTGCAAGTCTGGCATATTTCACTGTTTGGAGAAAAGTTTCAGCTGTTATCTGTAAATGTAACTAGAACAGAAACTGAAGCTGTTGTGGGGCAGACCGGGGTGGCAGCCAGCAGAGTAGCAAGCACTGGGAAAATCCTTTTGCTTGAGGAGGCAAAGAGGTGTTGGGACTCAGTGGACTTCACCTTCCCTTCTTGTCATATAGGAAGTGATAAACACTGCCTGTAGAACAGCACCTTTATGATACTTTTTCACTTTGCCTTTCATAGTGCAGTTTTAGAATGCTTTGGATGTTTAAGGGCAACTTGTACAGATTATTGCCAGGAAGAAGGAATTTTGTTTTGCCTTAACATTTCCTCTCTGATGCTGATCTACAGGGCTTGGCTCTTGTGGATAGAAGCTCAAGACCAGAGACCATCTTCCTGCTAAAAGTAGAAGACTTACCTGAAGGAAATCAGGAAAGATTCAACAGCTTATTCAGCATACGGGAAAAGTGGACAGAACCGGATATTGCCCCTTATATACAGTAAGGATCATAGAATCATAGGATATATTTATCTTTATTAAAAGTAGTGTTATCTTCTTCCCTTTTTGCATAGCTGACTTATCAGCTATGATTGCCTCAAATACTATACTTCCCATTGTAAATGACTGGATTCTGTATGAGTGGAATTCCTACCTGTGGGAATATTTGTTGGATTTAAACTTGTGTAAAAAGCTGATTTTACTGTTGAAGGCAGATCCTATTGATTGAGGCATACTTAACTCAAAGGATGAACCTTCTGACATCTGTAAACAGTCTCCAGATTTATGACACAAGAACTGTATAGGCTTCCCATGCTGTGTCTTTCCTTCTTTAACACTCACATTCCAGTGCTGCCTGGAATACTCAGCCAGGATACACATGAGCAGATGTAGATGGTAACCCTCAGACCCCTATGAGTGTCTCTAAATTTACTCTAATTAAGTAGTTCAAAGCTAACTGTTTTGCTAGATTGAAAACCTTTAGAGAACAGTAATAATAAAAAACAACCAACTCCCTGTAAAAACCAAAATCCTTCTTTCTGGAGTAAATAATGTTGTTTTGCCAGTCACTTAAATATCAAAGCCAAGTTCTCAACTTAAGGTAATTTGAAGCATTATGTAACAGTTACAGTTTCGTGGTTTGTTTTTTTTTCTCCCAATATCCTGATCCGGTTTGTTATATTTACAAGTATTTCATGGATTCATTTTGTATGAAAGTATCTCTAATGCCAATGTCATCTGCTTTATTTCCTCTATAGGGACTTGTGTGCAGAGAAGCAGACCGCTGGGGTTCTTCTGACAAAATATGCTCGTTGCTCAATGCAGAATGGTGTTAAAGTTTATAATTCTAGAAGACCCATCTCCTAACAAGTACAGTTTTAAGAACTGAGAATTCTGAATGAAGTAACAGCTTATGTTACTTGTTGTTACCTCCTGGGGAAAGGAGTTGTCAACCAATATCATACAATGTTCTTGAGTTTAAGCAGCTAAACTTCTTGAATGAATTCTGCTTTCTGCTCAGCTAAGTAGAATGTGAGGGCATTTGCCTCTTCTGAGAAACTACAGTGTCAGCAGCCTTTGCCCTCTCCTTCCCTTGTTTCCCCTTCTGTTTCCTTTCTGTCTGTAGTTATGCCAGGAGTTGAACTACTTATATATACTTCAGTTGTCTATCACAGAATCATAGAAATAGCCATAAACTGAAGTCTGACACTAAAAATTAAAACATCCTTGATGATAATTGAATCGATTTCAACAGCAAAACAATGTTTAGCCTTTTGCCCATTAGTCAGCATTCCTAAAGATTAAGATTGCATATCGGTGTTGACATGTTGAATACTGCAGACCTTGACAAGCTTGTGAACAAATTATTCCTGTGACTGCACTTACCTTAATTTTGGAAGGTGGTTCTTTTTATGGTCATGTCTGTTAATAACAGTGGCACAAACTGTTGGTACTTTAACACTTGCCAAGTTGCCTTTTATGTATTGAGAAAAACCAAATTGCAATCAAGAGTGAAGGTATGAGTGAACAGTTGGACATCTTGTTAGGAGCTTCCTCTGAACTGCCATTAGAATGTACCCGAGGTAAAATTAGTTTTACAGAAGCGTACCTTTGCTTTTTAAAGAGAACTTAAGAAACTTTGTAATAGGATTTTTCACCTTGCTGTGACAAATAACTGCATATAGAAAACGTGCCTTGAAAACTTAGGGTGGAATATTACTGTGTAAAGTAATGAAATAGGATTTTTTTTTTATGATACGGTCATTATGTGGAGTGCCTTGTAATCATTAAAGGGACTGTTTACATGTCAGTGAACCAGAGTTTAATATTAAACATTTTTCATATATTTTTTTAAAACTTAGTAATTGTAGAGGGCTTGTATACAAAAAGCATTTGCTGTATCAAAGTCACATGTAAGGTGCATCAAAAGCTTTGGAGCTGCTGGCATACCTAATGCAGGGTGAGGGGAGATACTGAGGGGTAGGACCTTATGCTCGTCCTTGCTGAACTTAATGAGGTTCCTATTAGCCTACCCTTCAGTCTATCCTGCTCATCCTTTGGAAGTGTCTACTTCCCTACTTCATTCATGGTTGCTGAACTTTAGGCAACCATGGGTACAGTTGATCCCATCTTCCAGATAATTGATGAGAATGTTAAACAGTGTTGGGCCCACTACTAAATAATCGGCTAGACAAGGAGCAATTCACCCCACCTCTTGGCGTGGCTGGTCAGCCTGTTCCCCACCCACCTCACAGGTGACTCCTCAGGACCGTAGCATGACAGTTTCTCTTGAAGGAGGCGGTGGGATCATATCACAAGATGCGTGCATGATGTATCGTGCGATGTGTCTTAGTATCCTCCCGTGTTGGGTGCGAGCCCTGCTCCTAATTATGTGTGCGCTAAGGTAGATCCGAGTGTCGGTGACCACAGCTCTACCCTGGCAACCGCAGGCGGCGGGACCCCACGTTTGTTTAAACCGTCAGCAGAGGGCCCAGACGCAGGCCTGGCGGAAGCTCCCGGTCCACAGCACAGCTTTACGGCCACAACCGTCGGGGAGGGCTGGGGTACTGCTGCACCCGAAAGGAACCGCGGAGGGCGGCCGAGACGCGAACTGCCGTTTACCGGCCCTCAACCCCTCACACCGCCTGCCGGGTCCCTCTGCGCACCCTCCCGCCATCCTCCGGCGAGCCCCCTCCCCACCCCAGGCAAGGCCTGCGCATGCGCACCGTGCCTACCGTCCCTGCGCTGGAGGCGCTCAGCGCGCATGCGCATAGCGACATGACCCGTCCCCGGGAGACTTGACTTATTTTTGCGGGGGCATTTTCTTCTTTATTTTCCCCCGCGGCTGCCTGTGCCACCGTTATTCCACCCATCTGGAAAACAGGGATCCAAAACGTTTCCCGTTCTTAAAGAACTAAAGCTCCTTTAAACGGGATGTGACCTTTCAACTGCTAGGGGTCAAAGGTTGCTCACAAGATGGCGACCGCCTCTGAGGGAGAACCCGCCGGCGAGGCCTGGCGGGAGCGTTGCTGAGGGCAGCCTCGCTCCCTGCCGGTGCGCTGCTCCCGCCCTCCATGCTGGCCGGGCCCCGCCCGCACCGCATCGTACCGTACCATACCGAGTGTATCGTACTGCACCGAGCCGAGCCGTGGGAGCCGCCGGCACAGCCGCCGCCCGCAGTGACGATAAGGCCGGGACGTGGGGGGCTTTGCTGCGCAGCCTGCGCTCCCCAGTCATCCCACAGTCGCCCCCCGGTCCCTCCTGCCAGGGGAGGGTGCGGCCTCAGCCGGCTGTCCCGGATCGGGGACCCCTTGGCCGTGCCTGCCCAGCCGCGGCCTTCCTGACTGAGCAGCGCCCACCTCCGTTGCCCGTTGAGCCGGTTATTTATCATAGCCTCTCCGGAAAGGGAGCACGCAGCGCCGCTGGACTGGTACCGTACCCCCAGTGGGGAGGGGTAGCGTTCTGCTCTCGTAAAAGATTAAATAGAAAACTGCATGTTGTTTGTGCTGTAACTATGGTGCTAATCCGAGCTGAAGATGTCTGACTGGTGGGAGCCACAGATCCACTGGCTAGATGGGTGATGAAGTACGACTTGACACTGGGGAAAATCAAAGGACACATCGATCGAGGATGATGCTGATGCCATTCTGACGGTCAGCAGAGTGTGTCTAGTGCTGCTGTTCAGGATGAATAGGAAGAAAGGAGACAAAGGATTTGAGAGCCCAAGACCTTATAAATTATAAGTATTGATTTATTATTTTATTTTTAATTTGCTATACTTGAGACCAGGGCACATTGAAACAGGCCACAGGCTGAGCCATAACTGTTTACCTGAGAAGGTTGGAACTGCTGCTTATGATATAGGTTGCATTCAGAAAATGTGTGTTGTAGGTGTATGTTTGATGTAAATGGACTTGCTCATGGATGGTGAGTCTGTCAACCATGCAGTTTCATAGAGATACGTACATTGTGCTCCTCAAACCTTAGAGATTTCCACACACTATCAGCGCTACAGACCATGCTGCTATGTCTCATCCCTGCTGCTCTGTCACACCCTTTTGACTTCAGGGTTTGTATATATATTTGTAAAAAATGCTTGCATTTGCAACAAACAGCTTGGTTAAGCAAATTGTCATTTTTGCACATGGATTGTTTTGGTTGTAACCAAACTCTAAAGCAGTTGGTTGGGGTTTTCAATGGATATTTATGTATTTCTGTTTATGACTCCTTGATTTCTTTAGAAATCTGTAACACAATTTATAAATAGAATCACTCTTGTTCTCAGATACATATTAGCATGTAGGTAACGTCTGAATCCATCTTGGATGCTAGATGTTATCATTCTCTTGTAGGAATTTTTATTAAACTTGCCTAGCTGAAGCAAAGTCGATTTTTAATGCACAGGGTACATGATTATGTGCATATAATGTGAGATGGTGGCATGAAAATTGAATTATGATAAGGCTGTATCTTTAGTCATGAATAACACGGCTGCAAAATGTGGTGAAAATGCCACCTACTACAGAAAAGATACAAAAATAACTTCCAGAGGTTTATAAAGGTTAGAATTACTATTTTATCTTCATTTTTTAAAATTGAGTTTTATTTATCAGTTCTAATATGTCATTCAAAATCTAAGCAAATACATTTGACTTGTTTAAAATACCTGTCTTAGTTATATGTAACCATTATTTAAAATAAGAAATTCTTATGATGCGAAATTGTAAAAGCCCATACTGCATTATTTCATGTGTAGTACCTGCTTACATAAATGACGTGAGAATCAATTCACCAGGTAAATTTTCCATAGGTGTCTCATTGCAGGCATTATAGTTGCTTGCAAATTGTAATACTACACATCAGTAAAGTGTTAGAACTTGATTCTGTGCCTTTAGTAATACAAGATTTTTGCATACTGGTAGATGATGTTCAAAAGTGATGTTATTATCTTCTGGTATCACTAGAATCCTGGTGTGACGCTATATTTGATTTTACTGAAACTTTTCTGACCTTGTGTGCAGCTTCCATTCATTATTTATTTTGGACCATGTAAGAGATTTAGACAGTCGTGAATACTTACAGAGCCAATCCAAACTGTTCTGTGATTCTATGAAGTATATGCTATACACGGTATTTATCTATATGTACATACATCCTGTATGAGCTCCCTATTAAAAAAAAGGGGGGGGGTTTAAAATGTTATTTTAAATGCTTTCATTTGTGTAAAACTTATTTTAATTTTTTTCTTTTTTTTTTCCAGCACAACTCACCAGGTAGTTTGTATCAACAACATAAATTTTCAGAGAAAGTCTGTTGTAGTAAGTATTTTTTAATAAAATGTGAAAGTAGAAATTAAATGTCTGGGTTTTCTTCATGCTTTTAGAGGAAATAACTTCACACACAAGCTAATTATGTTCTTCAGCTTATTTATGTTTTATACCTTCTAATCTCAGAAGTCTGGCACTCCTCAATATGTATTAAATAAAATACTTTGTGAACACTTTAATCTCTGTAAGGAAGAGCTTTCTGAAAGAAGGCATTGCATTGTAAATAGTGTTACAGAGCAATCTGCGATTCAAAACTGATGTTCAGCACTGGGTTAGCTGATGTCAGGGGTTGTGTTTATAGAGTTCTGTTGCTTGAATGTGGGTTTACTGGGGCTTTGAAGAGACTGCTACGATTTCAAGCCTGAAGTCATTGTGGCTTTTTGTGAACTTCAGTACTTGACTGAATGGATTCTGCTTAGGTTTAAAAAAATCATCTTGAGCTCAGATACCAAAACCTAAAACATAGTGATGGAAAACATAATGATGAAGAACATAGTGATGCCAGTAACTTGAAGTCTAGTCATTAGAGCCAGGTCATTCCCAGTAAAACACTCACAGAATCATAGAATAGTTAGGGTTGGAAAGAACCTTAACATAATCTGGTTCCAAACCCCCTGCTGTGGGCAGGGACACCTTGAACTAAACCATGTTTCATGATTGTCCATCGTGTCTTTTTTTATTTTATTTTGTTTCATAGCCAGGAAAACCCACCTCTTAAATGGTATGACACAAAGTGTATTCTAGACTCTTCTAAAAGGGCAAACCAATTTCCTTTTAAAATGAAAAAATATTTTTTTACCTACAGTTTTCCTGTGAAATGCATTAATGAGGTTATGCACTTTGTGA